CCTTCATATGGGAAGAAAAGACAAGAACATTCTGAGATAAACAAAACCTGAAAGAATTTGCCAGCACCAGACCAGATCTCCAAGAAGTTCCCAAGGGAGTGCTATGTCAGGAAAATTAAATGTAGTCACACAGAAATAAAAGTTCAAAAACTAAGAAAATGGCCAACTTAATTGTAGGGACAAGTCTGGAGTTGAATATTATATCCCAGAATTCAATCAGGAAGATCAAGCCACAACACAAGATAGATTAAGTACATGAGTCTGAACTGGTGAAATAGCATTCTGTGACTTTTGACTAAAATATTGCTGGTTTTTTTCTAGGCTTTGTTGTCTGGTTTTAAGAGTTTTTGTCCTATTGAGCTGTCACTAGGTTCATGTACCCACTATCTGAATGGAATACTAACCTGTTTCCAGGCTTTAAGTTTTAAGCAAATTTCCTTACCAATTCAAAACTGCTTTTCTTGAAATTACCAGCTGAACTTGCTAATGAAAGTAGTTAGATTATTTAAGAAATAGTGTGATCAATAAAAAGTGGGGGGGAAAGGAATAGAATACAACTGTAGACACCAGAGACAGTGTGAGAAGAGGTTGGGAAAGGGCAGAATGTCAGCTATAAGGGTAAATATATCTATATAGATATAGATATAGATATATACACACATACATATATATGTGAAACTAGAAATGGAAAATTATTGATGATAACATACATACATGATTAAGCCACTATGCAGTATATTCTGGATGAGAAACCACTTTTTGTATGCTGTGACGATGCTTAGGGGATGAATGTACATTAATTAATTTAAAAAAAAAAAAGGTTTCAGGGAAAAAAATGCATATTTGATGACTGCAGTAAGCTATATAGCCCCAGCTAGGTGCTATTTTATAGTATGTTCATTCTACTCACTGAGGTTTATGCCTAAAGTCAGACTTGTATTCATGGATATGTCTATATCAGCTGCGCTCCCTAGTGGAAATATTTAGATTAATTAAGTTCATTAGCAAATCAATAAAATGGGGGGAAAAGGCATAGAAAGCAACCATGGATACCGGAGAGAGTGTGGGAAGAGGGTGGGACACGGCAGAGGGTGAGAGACAGGGAATCAAGGAAAAAAAAAAAAAAAGCAAAATATACAGGAAACAAGAAATAGAAAATTTTTGTTGACGATAACATGTATGTTGATGTGCTTGACTGAGCCAATATACAGTGTATACTGAATGGAAAATCTCATTTTGTATGCTGTAATGATGTATAGTAAAGGAATTAAATTTTTAAAAATAAAAAAAATAATAATATTTGGCTAAGGGCTATATTTAAGTCTTTTAAAATTTACAATGGCAAAGCCTATAAACATTTCCCATAAATCAGAGTGATCATTACTTCAGAATAATTTATGGCAGTTATTTAGGACTCTGTGTTTGTTATAAATATGTATGTTGCAATCACTTAATAAAGACATGATGAATAACTTTTAAAATGTAAATGTTACTTACATATCCCAGTTCGGAGCTATTCGTAAATGCTGAATTAGCAACTGAAACTAGAATGAAAAAGCTAAATGTACATTTAATCCATGAAACAACACAAAAAGTGACAGTGCAGTTAACAATCAGACCGCTATATAAATGAAATACAGCCAAGGAGAAGTTCACAAACATGGAAAAGTACTAGTACACAAATAAGATAAAAAATAAAAACTACAAACAGTACCTTTAGTTTTTCCCACCACTGAATAGTCCCTTAATATCAATTCCCACACAAAAGATACACACCAACTACCAAAAAAAAATAAGCTAAAAATTATCCTGGAAGCCCAAGAACTTGGATTCTTTCAACCCAGTCCCAAAATGAGGGCCCCTTAAATCAAACGCCTCCCTGCCACTGTAATTCCTTTCTGAGGACGTCTTCAAGTAACACATTGCGTCCCCATGATGCCGTTTAAAATCTAATTGGATTATGATTTGTAAACTCTTACTAGAAGGAAGTACACTTGCTTCATCTTTTTTAAGTTGCTATAGGGTGCATACACTCACTGCAGAGAGAGATAAAGAGATAGAGAAACAGAGAGAAAGCTTTGCCAAATTCCCATGGGTTTAGCGACAGACTGAGACAGTCTAAGAAGTAACGTGGCCAGGGAGAAGTAAAAAAAAAAAAATCTTAGACTCCAAATCTTCCCTCAATATTGCATCAGAAACCCCAGCATTTACCTGATTGGCCCAGCAAAGGAGTCCTCTATTCCACATGGGCATTTTATGCCAGTCACTGACGAAAAGATCTGTCTTACGACGTCAGATAGGAATAGTATATTACAATTATTACAAGTATAACATAAAAGGTAAGCCTGAGCATTACAGAGGAAATCGTTCAAAACCATCATCTACTCAACTGTTTTTAGACCTACATATTAGAAAGACGATAACTTTCATGAATTTATCATTTTAATAAATCATGTTTATTGTGTTTAAATCAAATGCATATCTTTTTAGGGTTGGCCCCATAGCACGGTGGTTAAATGCAATGTTCTGGGAGCTGGACCCCACATAACTGACCACACTTCAAAACCTGGCTGTGGTAGTTTGAGAAACATCCCAGGCACATGTGTGAGCATCCCCCGAATCCTGAAAGGATGGAGAAATAGAGGGGAAAGAACTGCAGGACTACTGTGCCCTACGGGGATGCTTTCTAATGCTCTCTCTCTCCCTGATAAGTGTGTGCACCCTCTGGCAATGAGAGAAAACAGTATTTTAGCCCTCATGTTAATCTCTACAGAAACACAAAGTTACACACCTAAGTCGGGTTATGAGGACCCTGAGACAGGTTTCGCTGCACGACTACCTACCAAGGGGGAGTGGAGGAGCCTGGTGGCTATCTCCTTGTGACCAGCTACCACGCAGAGATAGCAAAGGAGATTCAGCTTGGCCCGGGAGGCTCCCGTCGTCTTCTCAGTGGAATCAATCTGTGAGCACACTTGTTGCAAAAAATCATTCCAATCTTGGTCTTTCAGAAATAACAACTTGTCCACTGTTGGGGGGGAGGGGGAATAGTAAAAATATGTGTAATGTGGCATGGATTACTGAAAACATTATGTTAGAAATATGATAAAAACAGAATTTCAATAGCTTAAGATGAGGACAAAAAAACAACAACAATGTTAACCCAAACGTTACATTGTCAAAATTAAAAATAAGATTACATACCACAGCATGATGTTTCACCCAATGAGGGACTACACACGCCAAGGTGGTGACTCAGGCTCTACCATGTAGCCTGGGTGGGTAACAGGCTATGCCATCTAGGTTCGTAGAAGCATACTGTGATGTTCACACAAAGGCAAACTCACCTAACAAAGAATGTGTCATTAGGTGACACAACTTTATTCCAAAGATGATGCTACTTTTATTTGTGTATCTATGTTTCTAATTTCTTTTTTCACCTTGGAGACTTTTTCCCTAGTCCAGTGATAAGCTATACTTTAAAAAAGAAAGTTGATACCTAAAGGAGAACTGTCCTGTAACCCTGAATGCAACAAAACACAAAGCTAAGTAAAACTGTATTGAAAGAAAACAGGGACCAGCAGTTAGCGTAATGGCTATGTTGCTGGACTCCCACGAAGTCGACTGCGGTTCGAGTCCCGGACCCGGTGGCTTAAACTCACGCCGGGCGCATGTGCGTGCGTGCCCAAGATCCCGAGAGGAGAATGGAGGAGAAGGGATTGCAGCGTGGCCATCCTCCCTGGGGGGTGATTTCCTGCTTTCTGTCTCTCTGTCTCTGTCTGTCTGTCTGGCGAGCACACGCGCCCTAGAGCAAAAACCTCTCCAAAAAGAAAAAAAAGAAAAGAAAAGAAATTAGCCTCTGTATAAATAAATCAACCCAGCCCTGAGATACTGGGGAAAAAAAATTTACAGTTGTTAGGAAGTTCTAAAAAAACGACTTTCAAATATAAATAGGTTAACATGATTGCTGAAAGTATTTGGAATTCCTACTGCCAAAATTTTCTCCAAATCTAGATTGATGGTTTAAGATATAACTGTCAAAAAACAATCAATTTAAGATACATAAAAATCTCCAGTGTTCATCCTCAGTAAGATTTTCATTAGCTAAAAGAAAACATAGTAATCATTCCTGCAATATCCCCCACAGAAGTGAACTATCTAACCCCAGTCTAAACTACTCTGGAAGAATCTCAAATCTTCAGAGTGCTTCCCAAGCCTGGATGCCCACAACAGAACTGTAAATGCTGGACATTCAGCTGGCTCTACAGGACAAAGTGCAGGAGATCTTCCCGTCCAATCAACAGGAAAACTCACCTAGCTCTCCAAGAACTCCCCACCCACAAGAGTACAGGGCAGCCCAGACTAGCAGAGAAATGTCAAAGGCTGGCACAAAGAGATTACAAACTGTCGGATTTACATAACACTGCCCCAAAAATACAGTCAAATTGGCAAGCAAATATTTGTATTAGCATATAAATGTTCTGTTGGCAAATAAATTTCATATTTGTACCTGCATACAGAGTCTATGTTTGATAAGCCCTTTATGATCCTACCTGAATGTGCTGGTAGATGCAATATTTTGGGGTCAAATTTAATTGGTGGTTGTTTCATTATCTGTGGTTAAAAACAAAAAGAACTTTTGAGATGTCTTTTGAAATAGTTATCTATCTCCTGGTGTGTCTCCTATATCAGATTATAAATCAATAAGGTCAAAAAAGAATACTATAAAATTCAATTGTTACCAAAAAGAATAAGAATTCAATAGTACCTTTTCAGACTGAAATAGATACAGATGATAATTTATTTTTTTAAATCAATCCAACTGATATTTACAATAATACAAAGTTCCATAGAAAAGATTCCCTCTATTTTGGCTGAATCTATAGGCAACATAATTCTAGATTAAAAATGTAGTCATTCGACATACATCTTTTGGGAACTTGCCAGGGAGAGACACTCTGCTAAGTGCTAAGAGGCACAGAATGATATAAAACATGTGACCCTATTGTCAAAGAGCTGATACTCCAGTTGGGATGATGAGATTAACTTTTGTAAAATAAAAATAAAACATAAGAATTGTCTGTCAGGCAAGTGCACATGCCCTATAGCAAAAACTCTCTCCGAAAAAAAAAAAAAAAAAAAACAAAAAAAAAATTTGGAGGATGCTGCAAGGAAAAAAACTTCAAAAAAAAAAAA